ATAAAGACTTTTGACAAGTCTCTGAACTAGACTATTGACTAGTTTACTGTAAAGGCTTTTGTCTAGTCCATAGACTAAAAGAATAATCAATAGACTAGTTCCAAGATAAATCAGTAGACTAGTTCATAGGCTAATCAATTCCTAACCTGCTCGCACTTAGTAGTCGTTTTGTCTTGAGATGCATTGACAAAATGTTCACAAGATATCGGACAAAAATCAGGTTACAGAAAATATTTTTATTGTTCAATGAAGTGGTAAAGAATCATATCACAATTATTCTGGCATCTGCTAAAAATTCCGTGGTCACTAAATTGGGATTATGAAGCTACTTTAGTGATAGAGGGCTACAGAGTAAACAAGTACATAGACAAAATCTTAGCGCGCTTTCTTACCAAATACATCGCTAAGATTTTAAACTGATGTCAGCTATGAAATTTCCAATCAAATCACTTTCAATAATTCTTCTACAGAGGTTCTGAATGGGTTTCAAGCATGAAGCTTCGAACGAACCCTAAACGTTATTTTTATATGGTCTGAAAAAGGCAAGAGTCACACATGGCTAATTCTCGTCATAATTCGACTCTGAGTACAACTTGTTTGGGAACTGTAAAGTATATGACAATGCAAAATCTATGTTTGTAGATAATCTCTTAGTGCCAATCTTTAGGTGAATGATTAGGGATTCAGTTAAAATTAATCCTCGAAAGTAGTTTTTGAGTACTAAGCTAATTTTGTTTGCTAGTTTAAGCGCCCAATGGAGATGGTTTAAACTTGAGCAAGAAATGCAAAAGTGTAAACAGCTGATGCAAAAAAATTAATACAATTTTTATAAAAATAAACATTAAAATGTTAATTAAATAAATTATGAAGACTTCAAAATACATTTTTTTTGTTTGTTTTAAATTTAAGTTTTCATTAATTTTCATATTAAATTTACAATTGTCTTCTTCTTTTTTATAAAACATGCATTGTTTTAATAACAAACAGTGACGTTTTCTGTTGTTTTGTATGTCAACATTGCGAAGTTTAATCTTGTACTCAAAAACATCAAAGGGGATTAACATTAGATTAAATTTATTTTCAGATTAACTAATCTGATAATTAATTAGCATTTGATTGCCAACTCAAAAATCCGCTCTTAATACATAAAGCATGATCCAAACTATTATTTCTTTATACATAATAGTTTTTTTTTTTTATTTTATAAAATTAATTTTTATTTTGAAATTATAAATTTAAAAATATTTTAAATTATATTAATATAATTATATACATATGTATGTATATTATACTAAAGAGGAAAAGCAAAACGATTACTTTATTTTCAAAAGAATTGCATTTTACATACATAAAAAAAAATATTTAAATCAAAAAATAAAAATAAAAACACAATACATATCGTTTGTTAGAAATAGTTTACTTTTCTTTATTTTATAATAATTTTTAATATAAAACCAAAACTAAAAATATTTTGAAACCAAAAAAAAAAAAGAAGAAAAAAAACACAAAATGTAAAAGCTCAATTTGGACTGAATTTTTTTATTTAACAAACAAAAATAATATATATTAATAGTTAAAATTTAGTGAATTTGTTATTGTAATAAGTTATTAATTAGGAATTATTTAAGACAAAAGAATCCCCCAAATAAAAACTATTAAAAATTAAACAAATTTGAGCTTGAAATAAAAATGAAAATAAATTAGTTTTTAATTTTATTAAACTGAAATGAAATGAAAACAACAATTAAATTAATTAGTGACTTTATGTGATTGTAAAAACAAATAACAAACAAAATTTAAATTTTCTTTTAAAAATTGTTTGATTAACACGATTTTTTTTTTTTATTAAAAATTTAACTAAAAATCCAGCACTTTTTTATTCATAAAAGACAAATTTAAGAACTATTTTCATATAAATACTTATACTTTAAATTATAAATAAATCATTAAACTAATTGTTTATTAACGTTCAGTAAAAGAAAATATAAAACAAAAGGGATAATATACTTAGTACAATTTGAAATTTTATAAATGTTTTATGTCTCTTTCCTTCTTACACTATACATGCAAAATACTACTACTAATAACTTCTCACACAAACCTCCTAAATAAACTTCCCTAGCCATAGTGCAATAATTAATCAATAGAAATTTCACTGTATGTATTTACTATTAAGCAGGTCACAGATTTTTAAATCGAAATTCGAAATTTTATTAAAATTAGTTCAATACAATTAAATTCCTTGTACTGTGACATGCCTAAATATTTGAAATTTATTAAAATGTTCTAATTTAAATGGAAGTTTATTTAAATTAGAAATTCTGTTTGTTAACCAACAAAAGTATACTTAATACATGAAAATACAAAAAACAAATCAAATTGAAACTGTTGTGTAGCATATTGTATGTATGTATGAATAATACTGAATGTAGAATTCAAGTTATACACTTTGAAAATATTATTTTATGCATTTATTTAGTAAAAGTAAACAAATTATGAA